CAGCGATCATTATTCTATTTGTCTTAAAATTAGTTATGGAAAAGTATAGACCGGATCTAAAAGCTAAAGATTTAAGTTGGAGTAAGGCCAATTTTGACAAGAACTTTCAAAGGTTGATTGTGAGAGGCTATTCGCAGGTAAAGGGACAGTTAGAAAGTGGGAGGCCTTTAAAAATGAGATAATGAGAGACTCCAGAGACAGTATGTTCCTATTGGTGTGAAGGGCAAGGCTAGTAGGTATCGGGAATGCTGGATAATTAGTGAAATTGAGGCTCTTGTCAAAAGAAGGAGTCATATTGCAGGTATAGAGAGCTGGGATCAGGTGAATCCCTAGAGGAGCATAAGGGCAGTTGGAGTACACTTAAGAGGAAAATCAGGAGGGCAAAAAAGGGAACATAAGATAGCTTTGGCAAATAGGGTTAAGGAGAATCCAAAAAGATTCTACAAATACATTAAGAGCAAAAGAGTAACTATGGAGAGAATGGGACTCCTTAAAGATCAACAAGGCCACCCTTTGTGTGGAACTGCAAGAAATGGGTGAGCTACTAGACGAGTTCTCTGGCTTTTCCTTGCAGCCTTTCTTAAATAATGGCAGAACATCAGCCACCTTCCAGTCTGTCGGCAACTCACTCGTCATTAAAATATCTCTGCTAGGGGCTCTGCAATTTTTTCCCAGCTTCCCACAATGACCTGGGATACCTATGATCAGGTCCTGAGATTTAGCTATCTTAATGCATTTTTACATCTCCAGCAGCTCCCTTTCTGTAATATGGACTCTTTTCAAGACATCACTTTTTATTTCCCCCAAGTGCTCTTGCTTCCAGTCTTTCTCCAGAGTAAATTCTGACATGAAATATTTATTTAGGATCTCACCCATCTCCTGTGGTTCCACACAGATGTCCTCATTGATCTCTAAGGGGCCTACTCTCTTCCTAGTTACTCTTTTGACCTCAATATAATTGTAGAATCTCTTTGGATTCTCCTTAATCTTATCTGCCAAAGCTATCTCATGTCCCCTTTTTGCCCTCCTGATTTCCTTCCAAAGAGTTCTCCTATATCCCCTATGCTCCTCAAGGGATTCACTTGATCCCAGCTGTCTATACCTGATATATGCCTCATTCTTTTTCTTGATCAGAGCCTCAATATCTCTTGTCATCCAGTGTTCCCAACTTCTTGACAGCTTTCCCCTCCACACCAACAGGAACATGCTGTCTCTGAACTCTTGTTATCTTGCTTTTGAAAGCCTCCCACTTGCTAGATGTCCCTTTACCTGCAAACAGCCTCCCCCAATCAACTTTTGAAAGTTCCTACCTAATACCATCAAAATTGGCCTTGTCCTAATTTAGAACTTTAACATGCAGACCAGGCCTATCCTTTTCCATAGCTATTTTAAAACTAATGGAACTATGGTCACTGGTCGCAAAGTGCTCCCCCATTAACACCTCAGTCACTTGCCCTGCCTTATTTCCCAAGAGGAGGTTGTGTTTTGCCCCTTCTGTAGTAGGCCATCTACGTAGTGATTGACAAAGTTTTATTGAACACACTTAAATTCCTCCCCACCAAAGCCCTTAACACTATGGCAGTTCCAGGCTTTGTTTGGAAAGTTAAAATCCCCCAATATTACAACCCTATTATTCTTACAACTATCTGCGATCTCACTACACATTTGCTCCGCAATTTCCCACTTGCTGTTGGGAAGCCTATAGTACAATCCCATCAAAGTGATCACCCCCTTCTTATTTCTCAGTTCCATCCATTTGGCTTCACTGGATGATCCCCCAGGAACATCTTCTCTAAATACTGCTGTGATGCTTTCCCCAATCAAAAATGTCACTCCCCCTCCTCTCATGCCTCCCCTTTTATCCTTCCTATCACATCTATACTGCGGAACACTGAGCTGCCAGTCCTGACCCTCCCTCAGCAATGTATCTGTAATAGCTGTGATATCCCAGTGAAGGGGGAGAGGAGGTTTGATAGAGGTTTTCAAAATCAAGAGTGGGACGAATAGAATAGATAGGGAGAAGCTGTTCCTGCCCAAAACAGAAGAAGAACAACAGGACAGATTTAAACTGGTGTGCAAAAGAAGCAAGGGTGATGGGAGAACGAATTTTTCACATAATGAATAGTTAGGGTATGGACTGCATTGCCTGGAAGTGTGATGGAGACAGGTTCCATTGAGCCATTCGAGAGGGCATTAGATGATTATTTAAAAAGAAATAATTTTTGCAGGGATAAGTGGGGGGGGAAGCAGGAGATCGGCACTAGGTCATGAGAGTTGTTTGAAGAGCCAGTGCTGGTGTAACGGCCTCCTTCTACCATCACAATTCCGTGACTCTGTGCTCAACAGGCTGGACTTAGAGAAACTGCAGGAGCTCAGACATTTCAGAAGCTGTGAGATTAAAAGAGATAACAGGGATAAGGAAAAGTGAGGCCATGTAGGGAGTTAAAAACATGAATGATAATGTTAAAATTGAGCCATTGTGGGAGAGAAGGAAGACAGAACTTGATGCAAATAAGGATATGGGCAGCAGAGTTTCAGATAACCTCAGTTCAAAGGGGGTCATGTGTGGGAAACCAGCTAAGGATGTATTGGAATAGTCTTGACTAGAGGCTGGAGTCATACTTAGCATGTAGGAAGATGGTTGTGGCTGTTGGAGATCAGTCATTTCAACTTCAGGAGTTCCGCAGGGGAGTGCCCTAGGCCCAACCATCCTTTGCTGCTTCATCAATGACCTTCCCTCAATCAAAACGTCAGAGGTGGGGATGGTCACTGATGACTGCACAATGATCAGTGCCATCTGTGACACCTCAGACACTGAAGCAGTCCATGTCCATACGCAGCAAGTTCTGGACTATATCTAGATTTAGGCTGACAAGTGGCAAGTAACATTCACAATACACATTGGCCAGGCAATGCCAATCTCCAACTAGATAGAATCTAACCATCGCACCTTGACATTCAATAGCAATACCATCACTGAACTCCCACTATCAATATCCTGGGGTTAGCATTGACCAGAAATTGAACTGGACCTGGGGTTATCACTGACCAGAAACTGAAGTGGACTAGCCATGTAAATACTGCAACTACAACAGCAGGTCAGTGGCTAGGAATCCTGCACTGAGTAACTCACCACTTGACTCCCCAAAGCTTGTCCATAATGCAAACAATTTGGGAGAGTGATGGAATACTTGCCTGGATGAGTGCAGCTTCAACAACACTCAGGAAGATTGACACCATCCAGGACAAAGTAGCTTGCATGACTGGCACCACATCCACAAATGACCATTCCCTCCATCACCACAGGAGCAGTGTGCATCATCTTTTAGATTCATCGAGGGTCCTGCGATAGCACCTTCCAAACTCATGACCACTTTCAACTAGAAAGACAAGGGCAGCAGATGTATGGGAACACCACCACCTACCAGTTCTCCTCCAAGCCACTCATCATTCTGACTTGGAAATATTTTGTTGTCCCATCATTGTCGCTGGATCAAAATCTCAAAATTCTCACCTTAACAGCATTGTGGGCCTACCTAAGGCAAATGGACTGCAGCAGTTCAAATTAGTGGTGTATCACCATCTTCTCAAAGGCAAGTAGAGATGGGCAACAAATGCTGGCCCAGCTGTCGATGGCCACATCCCGAATGAATAAAGGTAAAAGGTGTGAATAAGGTTTCAATTGTAGAGGAGATGAGGCAGAGGTGGAGTCAGATGATGTTGTGAAGGTGGGTATAAGTGGGTATTAGTGACAGAGAGGAGATGTGGTTCAAAACACAGCTTGGCTCATATATGATATCAAGGGTTATCAACCATCTGCTTTAGTCACAGGCTGTTGACGTGAAAAAGGTCTATATTTGGCAGCTATGAGTTTGAATTAGGGACTATAGACATTGACTTTGGTCTTCCCAATATTTAATTTCCGCTTATCAAATGCGGGATGTTGGATAAGCAATCAATCAAATAATTTAACAACAGTGGAGAAGTCAAGAGATGGTGGATAAGAGGCAAGAGCTGGCTGTCGCCACCTACATGTTAAAACTAATGCTGCCTTTGGACAAGGGGTGGCACGGTTGCTCAGTGATTAGCACTGCTGCCTCACAGCGCCAGGGACCCCGGTTTGATTCCAGGCTTGGGCAACTGTCTGTGTGGAGTTTGCACATTCTCCCCATGTCTGCGTGGGTTTCCTCCGGGTGCTCCGGTTTCCTCCCACAGTCCAAAGATGTGTCGGGTAGGTGGACTGGCCATGCTAAATTGCCCTGTAGTGTCCAGGGATATGCAGGCTAGGTGGATTGGTCATGGTAAATGTGGGGTCATAGGGACAGGGTGTGGGAGTGCGTTTGGGTGGGATGCTCTTCGGCAGATCGGTGAAGACTCAATGGACCTAATGGCATCCATCCGCACTGTAGGGATTCTATGATATGATGCCATGGAGCTGCAGCATTTCAAATAAGGATGAGGAGAGGGTTCATGAAATCCTGTGCAGGGAAGGGAGATGAGTCAGGGATTATGATACAGGAACAAGGAGAGAAATCACTGCAAATGACCCTCTGGCCAGGATTTAATGGATAAGAATGGAAGATGTGTGTAGTCTCACACAGCTAAGTGATGCAGGAGAGGCATGGGATGGTGTGGTTAACCACAGAGGCTATAGACAAGTCGACAAGAACAAGGAGGGATAGTTTACCTCCATCACAATCAAATAGCATGTCATTTAAATATCCGATCAAAGGTCTTCTCTTTACCAGCCTCTAAAGCAAAGGAGATTTGATGGTCTGACTCTTCATTATGATGTCTGGTCTCAGTTTCCTGTTTACTGCTTCAGCAAGTCTGAAGGGTTATGTGCTATCTGTTGTTCCACAGTAGATTGGGGGAAACGGTCTGCATTTTTATAGCAGAATATTTCATAAATAATGATTTCACGACCAGGTGCTTAAGGCAGATCTGTGCCAATCAAAGCAGTGATGTACGTGATGTTGTGCCCACAGGGAGATACTCACAAGTAGAAGGCTTTTTCCGGGATTTGGACTCACACCAGACAGTCAAGCCATCCTCCTGCAGTTTCATCTGTCGATCTTTCTTCCACAATCTCGATTTGATTTTCTGTAAGTTGCTGCCTGCCATCATAAATTTCACGTCTTCATCTTCATAAAGTGCTGCAAGAGTCAGGAAGACAACATAGGTCAGGGAAGACAGCAACTCAAGAACACAAGATTCAGAAAGATTCTGTCTTATTTGCTGTTGGGGGATCTAAGTTTCAAAGGTGAGCGCCAAAATGAAAATGTTAAAGAAAAATTTTTAATTAACCCTTTTGTTCCATGTTTAATGTTTAACTTCAGTCACAGTCATTTGACCAGATTCATGGCTTCTTCTTTGCAATCTATCAGTCCTGTTTTTAGATTCGCTGCACATTGCAGACAAAATCTGCCATTCAGCCTAAAGAGTTTGGTCTAATCTCATTCTCCTGTTCACTCCCATAACTCTACTTTTTCTCAATTTTTAAGCACATTCCATTAATAAGAACACCCAAGTTGACTTCTAAAACCTCAATATATCCCTGTCATTATACAGGCAGTCAAAGCGAGTCTGAACCTCAGCATATTGTATGTTTACTGCCACTGTCCTCTCAGACTGGGGATCAACAGGGCTTGTTTGGTCTAGTGTGTAAAAGGGAAACCACTAGAAAAGGTCCTTGTAATGTGAGGTTGTAGACTTCCTCGCTGAGCCGGTGTGTTTGGTTGCAGACGTTTCGTCACCCTGCAAGGTAACATTATCAGTGCGCCTCTGGTGAAGCGTTGGTGTTCTGTCCCGCTTGTTATTTATATTCCTCGGTTTGCTGGGGTGGTTGGCATTATTTCCAGTTCTGTTTTTCAGTGGTTTCTATATGGGTCCAGTTCAATGTGTTTGTTGATGGAGTTCCGGTTGGAATACCAGGTATCCAGGAATTCCCTGGCATGTCGCTGTTTGGCTTGTGCTATTATGGATGTGTTGTCCCAGTTGAATTTATGTCCTTCTTTGTCCGTGTGTTAGACCCCTAGGTATCAGAGTAGCCCGCAAACCAACAACCACCCTGCAACAGCTACTGACGAACATAAAGGCTCCCATACCTACAACTAATAAAACTAATGTAATATACAAACTACCATGAAAGGACTGTGAGAAACATTACATAGGCCAAACTGGAAGAAAACTGACAATAAGGATCCACAAACACCAACTAGCCACCAAGAGACACGACCAATTCTCACTGGTCTCAATGCACTTGGACAAAGAAGGACATGAATTCGACTGGGACAACACATCCTAATAGCACAAACCAAACAGAAACATGCCAGGGAATTCATGGAGGCCTGGTATTCCAACCGGAACTCCATCAACAAACACATTAAACTGGACCCAATGTACAAACCACTGAAAAACAGAACCGGAAGTAATGCAAACCACCCCAGCAAACCGAGACATATAAATAACAAGCGGGACAGAACGCCAACACTTCACCAGAGGCGCAAAGATGATGTTAACCTAGCAGGGTGATGAAATGTCTGCAACCAAACACATCAGCTCAACAAGCAAGTCTGCAACCTCATCCAGAACCCGAGCTACAAATCTTCTCAAAAGCTTTGTCCTTGTAATGTTTTGCCCATTAACAACTAGTTACAAGTTACATTGATAGGACAGACAGTGTTGCAAAGTCTTTGAGGAGGACCAGATACTGGGTCTCACCCTTTGAAATCCTAGACTCTACTGCTCACAAATCCATATGATATTATTATAGTGGGTGGTGTTTTAAGATGCCCCTCAGTATTAACCCTTTCATACCCTTTATACACCACCACCTCCAAATATGGGGACTGACTTACATTAAAAACCCATTTGATTCACTAATGTCCTTTAGACGAGGACAGTGTTCTATGTCAACTCTGAAACTTATTGCAGCTGAAAGGGACTCTACTAAATAACCAGCCAACCATACACAGACAGTCTTGGAGGTGAATGCCCAGCTAAATGTGTTTTCTGTGACAGTCTATAGTACCACAATGCTGCCTGCACAAGATCCTGCAAATCCGCTGGGAAGAAAGACGCACCATCACCAGCGGCCTTGGCCGACAGCCCAACAACACTGAGGCAGTGATCACCCTTAATTGGCTTCGATGGGCTGGGCACGTCGTCCACATGACCAACACAAGACTCCCCAAGCACGTGCCCTACTCCCAGCTTTGAAACAGCAGGCGAGCCCCAGGTGGACAGAGGAAACGCTTCAGTGATACCCTCCAGGCCTCACTGGTGAAGTGCGCCATTCCCACCGACACCTGGGAATCACTGGCCCAAGACCATCCAAAGTGGAGGAGGCGCATCGAGAAGGCATCAAGCACCTCAAGACTTGCCATCAGAAAAAAATGGAAGCCAGGCAAAATCAGCGAAAGGAGAATGCCGCCACACCAATTCTACACTCATCCCTTCCCATGACCACCACCTGCCCCTAGTGTAACAGAGCCTGCGGTAACCGTATCAACCTGTACAGCCACCTACAGACTCACCCTGAGAGTGGAACAGAATCATCCTCATCTGCGAGGGACTGCCAATGATGATGATAGTGTCATCTGCTTTTGAACCACCGCTGCAGAGTGTGGCTACTTGACAGTAAGACAACATAGCTCATGAATCCAGTACATAATAGCAGCTTGCATTCAGTGAAGTAGATTGTTCTCAAGTAAAGGGACGATTGACAAGTGGAAGGCTTTCAAAAGTGTGAAAATGAAAGTTCAGAGACATTATGTCCCTGTTACAGTAAAAGGTAAGGTTGGTATGATTAGGGAACAATGGATGAATAAAGATATGGTGGTTCTAGTCCAGAATAAAAAAGAATCATCTATTAGATATAGATGACTGGGATCAAATGAATCTCTTGAAAAGAATAAACAGTGTAGGGGCATTCTTAAGAGAGAAATCAGTAAGGCAAAGAGGGAAACAAGATAGCATCGGCTGATAAGATTAAGGATAATCCACAGATATTCTACAAATACATTAAGAGCAAAATAGCTACCAGAGAGAGAGTAGGGCCCCTTAAAGATTAACGAGGGTGTCTTTGTGTTGAACCTCAGGAGATGGGAGGAATATTAAATGAATGTTTCATGACAGTTTTTACTGTGGAGAAAGAAATAGAAGCCAGAGAACGCAGGGAAATAAATACTGATTTTTTTAAAACAGTTCACATTAGAGAAGAGGATGTGCTGGAAGTCATAGACAATATAATGGTGGATAAATCACCAGGATTTGATCTAGTGTATCCTAGTTCATTGTGGAAAGTTAGGGGGGAAACTGCAGAGCCCCCAGCAGAAATATCTGTATCATCTTCAACTACAGGTGAGGTGCCAGAGGAATAGAGGGTGGTTAATGTTTTGCCTTTATTTAAGGAAGACTATAACGAGAAGCCTGGGAACTACAAACCTGTGAGCCTGACATCGGTGGAAGTTAAGTTGTTGGAGGGGACTCTGGAACGTATGACTTACGTGCATTTGGAGAGGCAAAGAATGATAAGGGATCATGAGCATGGTTTTGTGCATGGGAAATCATATCTCACCAACTTGATTGAGTTTTTTGAGGAAATAACCAAAAGGATTGAGGGCAGAGCGATAGATGTTGTTTACTTGGACTTTAATAAAGCCTATGATAAAATTCTGCACGGTAGTCTAATTAAAGTTAGACCTCTTGGGATCAGGGTGAGCTTGCCAACTGAATACAAAATTGGCTTTATAGTGGGAGACAGAGGGTGGTGGTGGACAGGTGTTTTTCAGACTGGAAGCCTGTGACCACTGGTATTCTACAGGGATTGGTACTGTGTCCATTTTTGTTTGTCTTTATTTAAATGATTTAGATGGGAATATAGGAGGCATGGTTAGTAAGTTTGCGGATGACACCAAACCTAGTGGTATCATGGACAATGAAGAAGGTTGTCCAAGATTACAAAGAGATCTTAATCAATTGGATCAATGGGCTGAGGAGTGGTAGATGGAGTTTAATTTGGACAAATGTGAGGAATTGCATTTTGGTAAAACAAACAAGGGCAGGACTTATATAATTAATGGTAGGGCCCTGGGTAGTGTTATAGAACAGAAAGACCTAAGGGTTCAGGTTCATAATTCTTTAAAATTTGTGTCACAGGTAGACAGGGTGATTAAGGTGTTTAGCATGCTTACTTGCATTGCTCAGACCTTTCAGTATAGGAGTTGGGACATTATGTTGAGGTTGTACAGGATGTTGGCAGGGCCTCTTCTGGAGTATAGCATGCAGGTCTGGTTGCCCTGTTACAGGAAGGATATTATTAAACTGGAGAGAGTTAAGAAAATATTTACCAGGATGTGGCTGGGAATGGAAAGTTTGACATATGAAAATAGGCTGGGACTGTTTCCCCTGGAGTGTAGGAGGTTGAGGGGTGGCCTTATAGAGGTTTATAAAATCATGAGGGGCAAAGATACGGTGAATAGTAAAGGTCTTTTCCCGAGGGAGGGTGGCTCAAAACTAGGAGGCATATTTTTAAGGTGATGGGAGAAAGATTTAAAAAAGGGCAAGGGGGCAACCTTTTTGCACAGAGTCGTTGGTGTGTGGAATGAACTGTCAGAGGAAATGGTGGATGTAGGTACAGTTGCAATGTTTAAAATACATTTGGATAAGTACATGAATAGGAAAGATTTGGAAGGATATGGACCAAATGTAGGCAGGTGGGATTAGTTTAGTTTGGGAACATGGTCGGCCCGGACTAGTTGGACCAACGGGTCTGTTTCCGTGCTGAATGACTCTATCTGTTGCCCTTACTTGAATCACATGTGACTCTAGACCCACAGCAATGTGATGGGCTCTTAAATGACCCTCTGGGCAATTAGGGATGGGAAATAAATGTTGCGTTAGCCACTTACACCCACATTCCACAAACAAACAATAAAGAATAAAAAAGTGAATCATTGGCATGGGTGTGGGCAGTCACATCTTTGTCATTTACCAGCTCTGGTTGGTTGTGTCTTAAACTCCTGCACATCTCCACAGCACATCCTGCATCACCTACTTGATCCCTTGCATCCTGTTATAAAGGTATCTGTAAGTATCATTTGCGAAGTAAATGCAATAAAGGCTGTTTACTAATGTGAGTGTAGCATGTGAT